TAGGAAGCAACAACTAGGGCTCTGGATTGTCTGGACAGGCAATGAAGTAGGCTGATAGCTTTAGGCAGCTGAGAAGTGCAGACCCCTGTGTGGTTAAGGGAGACTGGCCCATCGGACCGCTTGAGTGACCGGCACATGCATTGTTACATGTCAATGTATCAGGGACGCTGGACCCGGTTTCCAGCAGGTGTTGCTCGCCACCAATAGACCGGGGCCTGCCACTACGACGACTCAATAAAAACAAACAAACAAAACAGATGTGACAGAGTGTTTCGTAGGACTTGCACCCACGACAGTCTGCGGAATCTCGATATTGATGTTTTGAGTCATGGACTCTTTTAACCCCTGTTGAAAGTGGACGCACTGCAGCACAAGCGGCAAGACAGCGACGCAGTAAAGCACAAGGCATCTTTGTCGAAGCAGGCCAAACTACAAGGCCAACAGGTATGCCACATGGAAAGAAAAGGCAAGGCAAGCGGATGAACAGTGCAGCGATGCACCAGGCAGTGCTAAGCAGCCAGACTACACAGCACACTAGCACGCTGCAAGGAAAGACAGTACAAGCGGACGGGCAGCAAGGCAGTGCTGACAAAGCCTCCAATCTACACAGCACACAAAACAAAGAAAAGTGTAGGGAACGGCAAGCCACGCGGATTGGCAGGAAGGCAACAATGCAGCGAGGCACAAAGCAACAGTGACAAGGCGACCAAACTACACCGCAAACCAGTGGGCAGCAAGGCGGCGGTGGAGTGCAGTTGAGGCAGTCCACACATGCAGCACAGAGCAAAGCAGTCCGTTACCTACTCACGCCACAAGCAAAATCCCACAGACTGTTGGTTCCTACCACCCTCAGAGCCAGGAAGCCACTATGACGAACGTCTGTCATCGCTCATGGAACAAGCACCCACAGACATCCCGAACAGAGTGCCCGCCCTAGTAGTTCTGCAGGCACTCCAACCAGACCGAGATTGACTGTTAGGCTCTTCTTCGAGGTGCTCACGCAGGCACCCAAATAGTAAGAAACTAGAATAGAAAAAAAAGGGAAGACATACATGTTATGATCCTGGCCAATTTCGAGATACACATCCATCAGATAGTACAATGCCATCCAATTGCAGAAAGAAATGAATGAACTTGAGAGGAGAGAGAGGATTAGAAGAAGAAGAAGAAGTAAGAAAGAAGAAGAAGATGATGTACACCAGCACAGACAAATGACAAGGCTCTTCTTCTTCGCCCAACAACCTCCTCCTCCTTATCTCCCCCTTCTCTTATTCATACAAGAAATAATAATACAATATTGAATGGCAGATCCAGAATCAATGTCCGAGTTCCTCTTCTACTGCAGGTATCACTTGAGGTCCACCATAGCCATGGCCGCCTCTCCCACTCTTCAGTCTCATACGTCGAGGCTATGGCGGACTACTAGGCCTTGCCCAGATGCCAAAGGACAACCCAAAGCAGCTATGGCTGCTCTAGCTCAGGCCGCCATGCCTGACCCTGCCTCGAAGCTTCTTGGTGTGGCTCTCCCCAGTTGGGGACTCCCTGCCACAGCGCCCACCAAGGTGATGAAGATGGCTGCCACCATAGCCAGGTAAGTACCTCTGGCGCTCCTCCCCCTTCCTTCCTTCTTCTTCCCTCGTGTCCTTCTCCTTCCTCCCCAGCAGCGCTGCTCCAGCATAGCGCTGCTCCAGCCAGCGCTCCACCATGTGTCGCCAAATTTGCACACTGAAAAAGAGGCCAGGCTCTTCGCCCGGCTGGGAGATATAGCGGCCTGCTTGCCTCTTCGGGTGGTGACTTCCAGGCCGCTCGGCCTTCCAAGCAACCGGTACCTCCTCCCTTTCGGAGGGAAACATCATTGCAGACTCTGATATTGCCCGTACAGGCCGTAGACCCAGACTGGTTGGACTGGTATCCACCTAGACCTAACCTACAACTACTGGGCCTCTGAAAATGCCACTTTTGTCTTCTTCTGCTCGACCTCCAGTACCCGCACATCTACCCCTTCAGGGTGCGGTACCGGCCTACCCGCTACTTGAGTGTTTTTCCTGCTGCAATCCCTCAATGTCACGGCCACAGGTAAGTACTGGCCCTGAGGGCCCAATGAACGAGCAAGTGCCCTTGCGGGCCACACACACACTCAAGCCAACCAGCACTCAGACAGGCATGGCCACACACACACTCAAGCCAACCAGCACTCGGACAGACATGCAGTCCAGCAAGCGTGCACACACAGACTTAGTAGCAAGCGGGGAACTCAGCAGGGCATTCGGTCTATGGGCAAAACTCAGAAATCAGCTATGTGTTTCAGTCCATGTTTGGATGGGTCATCACATACATGCATATGACTGTATGCATGTGCGTGTGTGTATGCAGGGCATGGGGGAGGTGCATCATTGTGGGTTAGTCTTATGCTGAATTGGGGAAGGGTGGGGGGGATGGTGTAGGAACAGTTTTAGTTATATGGGGGGTGCTTTTGTGGCAGGTTAGGCCTGTGTTGAAGGGCCGAAGGGATGGGGTATGGTGGGTGCGCAGGCTCAGTCGCAGGGAACTTTTAATTAGCCTTTGGGGATATGGTCGTATGTGCCAGATGGAGAGTATAGATTTTACTTCACATCTTATATAATACATACTAGCTAAGAGCGGGCAGTGCGGGCGGTACGGGCTACGCCCGCAGAAATAACAAATGCAGTGGGTGACCTCACTTTGCATTTCGGATGGCTCGCCTCCAAGATGTTCGTCCGCAGAAACAACGATGGCCTACCGGGGACCACAAAACGACAGCCGCGCGAGAAATGAAAGAAAAAAACAAAAAAAAGGGGAGACACAAAACGACGGGCGCGAGAAATGAAAAAAGGAGAATGAGGACACAAAACGATGGCCAACTGGGGAAAAGAAAACAAAAAAAAAGCCGCCCACATATCGGATGGTTCGCCTCCAAGATTTTCGTCCGCATCAACGCCAGCCGTGTGCCCCAACCCCGGGCCGCGCGCTCTCGTTTAATGGTGCGTTGTGAACATTTCGGTATGGGCACCCCTCTGCACACTCCCCCGCCCTTGATCGCCTTCATCCGCCGCCCCTCACCAAAACTTCGACCCCAATCCGGTGCGCAGCGCGTCACGGACCTACCCCCCACAGCCAATGCTACTTAAGGGATAGGATGTGCATATGCATATATATCATCACAGAGAACTGCCCGGTTAACCGTAGGCAGAAAGGGAGAAAAGGACAAGAAACGGGGAGCTGTGAAAGACTGTTTCATCGAATTTTCACCGACTTATCATGAGACTGAACCCTATGCATTTAATAGTATATTGTGTTTACTGAAGGGTTGTTTATGAGAGGTGTGAGGGAGGGAATTGTCTTTACTCAATTTTACTGTGAGTGTGTGTACATGTGTGCTTCCTCTCTTACTCTGTCTCCCTTATTCCTGTCCATACCTCTGCACCCTCTACCCCTTGTCTTTTTGTTTATCTGTGATAATGACTTTTGTCTCTCAGTTCTCATGACCTTTCTGAAGTGGTAGCTCAGTCTCCTGGTTCCTCTCCATATATCGCCGCCTCTACCCCCCTCTTCTTTCGAAAGATCATCAGCACAGGCCAACCTACATCAGGCTAGGGGTAAGAGCCCATGCCCGATGAAGGTTCTGCCGGTTTGATGGGTCCACATGCATGTGATAATGTCCGTCGTCTCTCAACTTTCGTGTCCTGGTAATGTCCACGTCGTGGAACAACCACCTTGCCCTGTCATGGTGTCAGGGAGCAAGCCTGATCATTCTCACAATACTTGTCGCCTGGAGAACTTTCGTGTTGACATGCAGCAGAGGATTGCGTGTGTATGTGTGTGTGCATGTGTTATCATGTTCACTGTACAGGACTGCACAAAGAAAGGATGACTGTGCCTGACCATTTCATCGGACTTTCACCGACTCATCAGGGGGTTGAATGTGTGTGTGTGTGTGTGTGTGTGTGTGTGTGGTTCACACTTTCAAATGGGGAACTATGGGAATGGGACAGTTGTGGTAGAAACCAGTAGGTCAAGACAGGAAGAAGGGAGCATGGAATACCACATGCACCAATAAACTGACAAACAAAAGGTAATGAAAACAAGACTGACCCAATAGGCACAGGGTCCCCAAGTCTGTTAAGTTTAGCAAAGTTCACTTGCAAGAACACAGCAGATGCCAGTGGAGTTAACGTGCAAGCACAATGAATGGACATCAATGACTGCAAACGGAGGAATGAAAGCAATTATATGTAACAACAACAGATAGGATGAAGAATGATTCAGGTGAGGTCTGAGACATTGCATCTGATACTCACATGAACAGGGGTGTTCCTCGCTTTGCTGCTCTCTCACTGTGTGTGTG